AAGATTAAGATATGCAATAAACATATTGTGGCCTAAAGGGCTCGGAAGGGACAGGAGTTTAGAAAGGCACGGTGCTGGCTGTGTGACCCCGCTGGGGCTTCACCTGTTGATCAGTAGCAACCAACCCAGCCCTGCCGCCCTTTACATCCCTCTACACCTGAAAAAGGCCCTCGAAAGCACCCCAGAAATGGGTACTGCACTCAGGCCTCCCATCTGAAACCACAGCCTGGAGTTTATTTTTTTGCAAAGAAGCTGAGAGTCCCCAACCATCCCTTGTGTGGACACAGAGGGAGCCCCGAAAGCAGGTACCCGAGCACCCTGTCGGGAGGGAAGTCACCGGGTTTGAGCCATGGGCACCTGCCCTGCCAGGAACCTCTTACCCGCTTATCGTACCTAATTAAACATTTAAGAGCAACTGTGTACTCAAAAACGTCCCCAGCTGTGGAGGGCGATTGATTGGCAATCAGGTTGGTTGTGTGTGCAGTGGGGGAGGGGGTAGAGGAAATAAATAAATGCAAGAAGCCACCTAAATGTGCAGAGCCAGACCTGAAAAGCCAATCTGTTTGCTGTCAGTGTGAACACACGTGTGCAAACACAAATTGCTCTGTTCTAATACGTGTTCATGTCACTTATTGCTGGTTTTGTCTATCTTCTAAGCAGGCTTCCATGTGCTTCTGCATATAACGACTGGTGGAACGAGTTACGTGTCCCCTCTGGTCTGCAGGCTTGCGGTGGTGGAAGCCCCTCTGGCAGTTGTGCATCCTGGCGTGATCCTTCAAGCCTTGGACCTTCTGGTAAAGCTGTTGGCAAGCATACAAACTGGTAGCCACCTAGTGTGGACACGTAACCCTGGACACTTTCCATGTTCCTTCCTCAGAGCACGTGGAAATCACCATTAACCTCAGCCCTCGTCTCCCCCCGTGGGACCCCTGCTGAGTGTTCCTCTGGGGCAGTGGGGGTCTCATGGGCTGCTCCCTCCAGCAGTGCTGCTGCAGGGCTCCTTCTTCTCCTTCTTCCATCCTTCCTGGGGCCCATCCTGGGACCTTCTGCCTCGTTACCAACTTGGAACTACTTGCTGCCAATTTTTTAAGGTTGTCTGCCTGAGAAACTAGGGGAGATTCATGGACAACCTGAGAACTCGGTCCATCAGAGCATAAAAGAAAGAAAAGTTAATTTACTCTATTTTAAGTTACTTTTGTTTTGTTTTTAAAAAAACTTTACAACATTAGATAACTTTTCTATTAATCTTAAGAGAGTGGCAGGACCTATGGGGGGCACCTGTGTGCTTATGCAAGGAAGCTTTTTGAGCTTTGTCTTCACAGGAGGAACTGCAGAGTGGACACTGTGTGAAGCCAGAAGATAAGCTACGGCAGGAGCTGCTTGTCCTTCTGTATCTCTGTTCTCCTGGGCCACAGATCTGCCCTTGTTCCACCTTTGGAGGCAGCACAGGGCAGGTAGCAAGGCTCTGTGGTGAGCCTCTTGGTATGACAAGAAGCACGTGCTTTGAGTATGAACTCATAGGAAAAAACATACTGGGGACCAAAGAATCCAGGGAGTCTAAGGAAACAGCCCTTTTTAGTAAGCCATATGGATCAAATGATAAAAATCACTTACTTTTACTGTGGAGAGCTTTTGCTCAGAAGGTGAATCCTCAAAGCCAGGCCCAGCCCTGGTCCGGAGCGTCCCTGCACAGCCTTCCTGGCTCAGCCCGCTGCTCGCCCCTCCTGGAGGAACACAAATGAAAAATGCAGAGTTAAAGCTGGTAATAAGTACCAGCTTATTAATAATAGTAATAAGTAATATTAATTACTTATAATAATAATACCCCCATCATTCTCCTTACTGTTAGGGACAAGAAAACCCAAAGTACCGGGGAATTACAGCTTGGCAATCCTGGCGTGTTTTTCTCCCCGCTTTATTTGAAATGCTTAATATTTGCTTAATTGTAACAACTAGCAGTGAAATGTATATATTGCAAAAAAGACCTCACACTTGCGCAACTCAGAGCTGTCAGAGAGTATTATAAAAGCTGAACTTCAGCTCTTAATTTGGTGTGTTAATCCTTACGCCTGATTTTAAGTGGTATCAGTAAATCAGACATTAAGGAAGGCCAGCTGCTTCTGTTAAATAAACTCCTTTGTCTGAGACTTACAGGGAGCAGAAAAGGCAGGTGGAGTTATTGATCTGTGAATATCAGCTGGCCGGGCCTCACGGGCAGCGCGCTCCTCTTCCTTCTAATTGCCAGGGCCTTCAAGGCAGCGCTGCCCCGGCCACCAGGCAGGGAGAGCTGCTGGGGGGGGTGTCTCCCCGAGCTGCAAAGGGTTTATCACCAACAAAGCTGAGAATCTGTAAACGTAAGAATTCACTGGTGAAACCTTAGCCCTGTTGAAGACCACAGGAAAACCCCACCAACTGGTGGTGTGGTGTAGGTTGGATGCTACCTGATTTTTTTTGCAATTTCCCTCCTTGTGTCCAATATTAAAAAACCCCAATGAAATTATACCTTGAAGTCCCCAAGGTAAAGACGACGTTATTACTCAGGGATTTACTGTTCTCATTTCCATGTTGAAACTGATCGGTTTCTTGGTAAGGAATGTAATGATAATTCTTTTTCTCTCATCTGTTTTAAGCCTGATTAAAGAAAAAAAATCTGTGAAATTCATACACAAATTATGGTGAGGAATGTGTTAATTTTGGGAGGGGCGATTCCCAAAACTGAAGTTTTTATTTTCTTTCAAGTGGTAGCTGTATTGCGTTTTATATTCTTTGTTTTGCTTGTCTGGATCCTGCATGTTAATTCGTGCTGTGATAACTTTAAGGAAGCTTTTTGGAATATGAAGTTTGGACATTATTATGTATTTGGACTTGGCTGATTTTTTTGCAAATCACCTTGCTCTGACGTGTTTTTAAAAATACTCATTTGCGGTTGGTCACAACTTTTAGAAACTGAAATTATTGAACGTGTTTTAGGGCACCATCTTCTGGCAGACAGAACACATTGTATTTTAATGGCCACCTTTGCTGGGTACAACTATTTAGAATATTTTTGACTAACGCTACTCTGCAGGCTTACAGGTCATGTCTCATTCTAAATCTGCAATAAAACACTATTTAACATTTTTTACATTCTTCCGATTCATTGCAAATGCAGCTATTCACTGCGCTGCACAAATATGACTATAAAACTCCAGCCACAACAGGCACTTTGTGAACACACGAGGTTGGATGGACAGCACATGGCCAAGCACTTACGATTAATACATAATTTATATATCTTAGTTCTTTTATAGTTTTCTCCTCCACTTCTCTTGCGTGTTTCAGATAATGAAACTTATTTTTTAAGTTTACTGGCTCATGCTTTATTGTATTACTTCATATTACTTTGATCCTAGTTTCTGCTTCCTTGCCTGTTTGGTATTTTGGATGCACAAACCTGAAGGCTTCTGGTCCTTAGAGCTGCAGAGAGAAGGAAGAGGATATCTCTACCTACAGGCACAGAAACAACAGGGAGAAAAAACAAATTTATTTTCCTTAATTCAGTCTTTATTCACTTTTCTAATCCAAATTTACAATTTTGGGGCAGCAGAGGTGAGGCTTGAAGCAGCTATTGATGATATCTCTGAACTGACCACAAGCCTGTGTTATCTTCTGGGATCTGATAAATGGTTGGCAAGAGGCCGTTGTCGTAAAGGTCAGGACATGAAATGACACATCAACCTGCTTGCCAGCTCAGAGCCAGCCAGCCAGGAGAGCACCATCTCTCTCTGGGGTTCAACAAGGAAATGCTTGCAGAAAGTAAAATTAAAATGTCACATACAGCTACTTACACACATCAAACGGTTACCTACAGGTTACAGCTGCTCTTTAGGAAATGGGCTGGTACAAGGCTGTCATGGTGGCCCCAGAAAATCCTTCTCCTCCAGTTGCCCCTTAAGGGTGATTCTCAAGATGCTTTGAGAATCAGAAAGGCTGCACTTTCGCCTTTTTTTTTTTAAACAAAAAGATTGTGGGAAAGTCATAACAGATTTCTTCACCCTAAGTCAGAGCAGGTTAGTGAATCTCTAGTTACCCGCTGTGTGTCAGCGGTGGCCAATGTTCCCTTCCCTGCTCCACTGCAGGAAACCAAGAAATGTTGAACCAAGAGCGTACAAAGACACGCACTACAGTCTCAGCTGCATTCAACTACACTAAAATATTCCACTGTTCTTCTCATCCTTTTCATACATGGCACTCAAATTCACCATGTAAATAAAAAATACAAGCGTCAAGAACGAATTGCTGCTACAGAAAGCAGCCAGAAAAGCTTAGCTGCACTACAGAAATTTGCATCAGTGTAAACAACCAACCAGAGACTGCTGTGTGACAGAAGAGCCAATTTGTATCACTGCAAATAGCAATTTGTAACTGCTTTAATGAGCCTGGCTCACAAATTGTTAGCCAAAGCAGAGCCTACATCAGAGTCGCCAGGCTAAGGCACCAGGAAGACTTTCTCTTCCATTTTAAGCCTTGTGTCTTCCAACCACACTTCTTCCCTATCAGTACTCCTGCTACTGGGACTTGAACAAACTGTCAGGTGAAAAGTGGCTTCCCTTTTTTTTTTTTTTTTTAAATTACTTGAAAGCTTAATAAATGTTTCAAATTATAACTTGCTCTCAAGGGCAAGATAAAATTTAAGTTGGAAAATTCTACGTTAACACATTGTTGATGACTAGTAGCCAATTAAGGACATTCATACGCCATCAACTCTGAAAACTCATTTGCCAATTTCATTTGGCACAGAAGCATTTTCACCATCACCCAACGTAACAGGAACGGGACAGAACAGCTGCCACTGCACGACCTGTTCTATGGAAGCAGCCTCTGTAAAGAAAATATATTAAAAATCATTCACTTGGAAGTATTTTACAGGAAGGATCCAGGAACATTTTCTGCCATTTAACTACTTCCTACCCAGACAAAAGCAGCACAATTACATCTCCTAATGCCATCGAGATGCAATTGCTTACAGAGTTACGTTCTAACATATTCCATTCCAGTGCCTCAGCTGCTGATGGCAAGAACTACAGAAGCTTCACGCTGTAAACCCTTTCTGTAACCTCTCATTTACATCTTTACCTCTCAGTCTTCACTCCTGCTGGCCAAGCAGCAACTAACTCAAAAGGATTTCATTCCGGGGTGCAGTATTATGCCTCCAAACAAGACGCTGACTATTTCTACCTAAAAGAAGAGAGAAAACATTAATTGCTTCATAGAACCGTAGTTGTGCGCTGCATTGGCAATTTAAGTTTTGGTTCATTAACACAAAGTTAGAAAGTCATTTTGACACAGTGCCAGAAAAGGCCAATTAGCGTGTTCACAATCAACGCTGACAGTTTGACCAGTGCTGTCCCCTCCCCGAAGGTGGAGGTGGTGACAGCGTGTGTGCTGGTGTGAACACTCCAACCCAGGAGGCCAAGAACTGATTTGTCCAAGAAAAAAACAGAGAGACATTCACAAAAGTTTTATTAAAAAAATTCCCCTTTCACCTCAAACAAGTGAAGCTTAAGTTCTGTACTACTAGGTTATGTTTAGAAAAATGAAAATAATACAGTAATTTTTGAAGGCTATACATTGTAAAATCCCATAAGTCAGCATAAACTTGGACTGTGCAAGCAAATATAGCAAGTATTCAGATGTCATTTATTTGGTCCATCAGATGTACAGTATAGTAGTAGTATCTGAGTTTACAAAACATCAAATATAAATAACCTGAAACTGTAACAATACACAAAAATTTGCTTCTTACATTGACATACCAGGCAGTACGAGCTGAAAAACTTGAGTAAATTAACAGTTTTACAGTAATGTACATAGTGCCAGTTGAAGCTCAAGAACACTGTTAAAACATGGCACTAATTTGCTTTATTGAATTTTTTTCTTTACTTGTTCAGGGTGTGAAAAATGTGTAGGACTAGGCTAAAAATATTTTTCTTGAAGCAAAAAAAAAAAAAGTAGTTGCTTAAAATCTGGGCATCAGACAATGACCCTTTACCTACGAGAGTAGGCTTTTTTCTTTGTCCTATTGAATTATACCTAAAAGGTATTTACACAATAACATGCTTGTTTCATGACTGTTTAAGCAAATACTTATCTGTAAGTATTTATAAACTATGTTTCTACTACATTTAATATATGGAATTAATATGGAAAAACTTCTGAAAAGAGTCTATCGAGAGCTTTATCATCAAGAGAAACAGACACAAATTATTTAAGCCATTGGTTTGGTATTCACTTGGAACAAAGGCCTTACAGTAAGTCTAGTTCTGGACATTTTTCACATCCCAACATAATATGCTGTTACTGTATTACTTTATCTGAATCGTTTTGTCAAGGGGTGTTCGCGTGTTCAGTCTAATGCTATGATTTCATCTTGCTCTTCCATCTGCTCAGTACGTGCTCTCTTTGTACCAACACACTCTTTATCTTCTAGTTTTCTCTTGAGGCCTTTATTTTCCATATCCTCATCTGCGTTGCTTGAAGTACCTTCGTCTTCAGAATCAATGATCAATAGATCGTCTTGATCTGGAGCTGTAAAACATATGGTTTTAGTTCAAATGGATACTGTAAAGGTAACTTACTCTGAAACAAAGTTTCATACAGAAAAATGGGAATGTCAAATTCAAATGAGAAGTACAAATTCATTGTAAGAACTAATTTTATGCTAGGGCTTTTGGTTTTTTAAATGTAATTTAAATCAGTTTTTGCAATACTCTTGGCATTTAATCTCCCCTGAAACAAGAGGCAATGACTACATACTTGTGCAATTATCTTAAATAGGACCACCTGACAGGCAGAGGGTCATCATCCAAAAGCATGAGAGAACTACAGGTAACTAACTTACATCTGCCCCACGTTTGCAGATTCATACACTATCCCTATAAAATAGTGTGACATTTCCAGTACATTAGCCTTCAGTGCCTAAGCATCCCATATTCATTTAAGTTAAACTATTCTGAGTATGTTCAAAGAAACACTCTACTTTAGGAAGGTGATGGCACTTCTTCCTGGATAGCAAATACTATTTCCTTGCCATGCTTTGCTTCACAGGCGAAAAATAATTGTTTTGTAAGCAGATAATAAAGACGTCTTCTTAAATTAACAAAATGAAACACCATCAAATACATCCACAAAGTAATTTTTAATCTGTAGGGAGAAAGTGACAAATTTGGTTGGTTCTTTTTGTCAAGCAATAGCGTGACCATCAGATAGAACAGGTCTTAACTTTATTTAAATCACTGTGCAACTGATGCACTTAAGGTGACACCACACCAAGCCCTTGCGAGTTAAATAATATCATTTCAAGGTGTATTTACTGTAAACCTTTATAACAAACTTAAACGTGCATTTTGTGACAATTGTAAATATGCGTTTTTCTATTATATTTATACACAGAGGCAACTTAAATGCCTTTTATTTCATGTTGGCAAAGTTAAGTCATAAAACTGATGACCGCTGTTTTAATTGGACAGCGCTACTGAAAGACTATTTGGGTTTATTTACTATTGATTACTTTTATTTACCTGTTGATGTTGAGGGTTGCGCTCCGTCGTCGCTACCATTGGTAATGTTCTTGGATGCTGGTTCTGATGGTTTGGGGCCAACTTTTTCAGGGCTATCACCAACAACTTCAAATTCTACATCTTTTTCTAGGTCTTCGCTGCAGAAAAATATGTAAATGCTTTTAGACAACCAGGTGAAAATAAAACCTCGCCTTTTTCACAAAGTACATACGTATTCAAGTATTAAAGCACCCTGCAACTATGACAAAATGAGAAAAACATACTAAGAAAGAGGAAAATCTGTTCAGTCTTCCTTTATAATTTATGCTTTGTCTAGTCATAAACACTGTTCCCACCCAGTGCCATGACTTAAAATGCTTCAGAATGAGAAAAGTCATCACCGGAGCTTACCCTTCTTCCTCAGTGTCACATTCCTGTTCTCAATCAAAGGGCAGTGTGTTCATTTACTGTACATAAGATTTATATTACTTCTCCAGGGTTAAAAACACACACCAGTTATTTCAGAGCGACTTCTATTTGCATTGCTGCATCTGAACACAGGGAGTCAAGCAGAGGATCTACTACCACAGCAGGCTGGGAAGGCTTTTTGCCTTGTTTTGTTTTTAAACAGCAGTTTGTCACTTGTTGGCTGCCCCAAAAGTAAGTTTGGTTTTACACTGTATTTTTATGTTGTATCATGACAAATTATTCAAATAAACTTTTTCCATTCACTGTTGTAAAAAAAAAAACAAACCAAACAAACCACCCCAAACCAAAAACCACAACAAAAATAAAGAACAAAACCCAAAACACACTAAACTCTATAAATTCGTAAAGAATATAAAAGCCTCTTTTACCTCTGTATTTTCTTTACACAGCTTAATGTTTGAGCTTTATCCATGAGTTTAAAACTCTGAGTTGGAAATCCCCCGTGGAACTGTTCTACACATTGACACCAACCTCACTACTCTGAATCTTACCTGTGCAGCACGTTGATTAACAGCGTATAGTCCTGCAGGAAGTCATCCGCCTGGAGTCGAGTGCCGTTTCGAATTCCAAAGTCTGATAATTTCCTGTGGTTATTTGCTACAAAAACAGTGAAAAACTGCATCGTAAACAGCTATTTATACACCCGAGTAAATATGATGAAATGAATACTGCAGGCTTACGGAGAAACATAAGGTTAGCATTTATTTGCTATATTTAAAGTAAAAGCTGTTGTTTAAGCCCATAAGGAGTTAAAAATTTGTTTGCTTTTGTATTACAATAACTCCTACAAGCATCATAAAGAGTCCACAATCTAAGAACAAGAAAACGAACAGGACTTGCAAACAGAGGAAAGTAACTGGTGCACTTTTATAGCCCAAAACCTATTCTTGAAAGGAATCCTGACACTCCAAGTGAGAAGTACTTCAGACAGGAAAGTACTGGACAGGCAGTCTTGTAGACAACACCACGAGCCACTCTCAGGCCACTTAAATACTTGCAAATCCAGTTCTCCTCAAATATGAGCCTAAAGGATGACCACTTTAGTATAGCACATTTGCTATACTTCAACTCTGTATATCCCTGTTTCTTCCTAGTTTTCATCTACTCTTACCTAAAAAGCTCCAGTGTACGTACCTTCCGTCTCTCCTTCTTCTGAAGAGATGAGAATCGTTCCTTTTCCATCATCTATTTGTACATCCGGTGCTACCATAGCAAATTTTTCTTTCACTATCTGAAAAGAGGAATATGATCATTTAATCAATATCTGACTTAAAAACACTTATAAAAGAAAGAGCCTTGAATTATGTTGATTTTCTTATCCTGGCTCATTTTCAGGCATCTGCTGAAAGTCTATACTTTTTTATTTTATTTTTTAACTTCCAGAAACACAATAATTACTGTTTTGCTGACTGAAACCTACAGGTTCAGATATGCTGAAAAAATTTTTAGAAAACTTCAAAGGACAGAAATACAAATCAGCTGTGACTACACAGCTGTAATGTGGCTACTGAACTAGTCAACTGAAATAAAAGCTTAGTTTTTTGATGATATATATGAATAGTCTTCAAAACATCAAAAAACTTCAAAATACATTCTTTCAGAAGATACACAAGCAGGCATGAGCAAGCATCATACTGGCTAATCTAGTTCTTGTAGCTGAGAGAAACACAGAATGTAGAGCAAATATAAACAGCTGATGTTCAGTCAAAATATATTGAACAAAACCCTCAATTTAACAATTTACAGTATTATAATCAAAATGAAAGCTGTAGCTACTCTTCAAGATGTACCTTATCCTGGAGTGTTAACACAGTAACTTTGTGTACATTGAGTTTCACAGTCACTTCTGGCTTGCTCGCACAGACATAACAGTTAGGGTTTGGTGGATCCAAAGCACAGGGAACCAGTAGCTTCTTTCTGGGATTTGGCTGCTTGTTCAGAAAAATCTTGAGGACAGATGAGAATAAAACAAGTTATTCTGTAAGTAAGAGCATGTATAAAACCTGTTGTCTTACAGATTTCTTCTCCCAGGCTGTCCTGTTCCCTGATCCCCTTTAAGATGCCCAATGAACAGCAGAACGTGCGTGTCACGGCCAGTGAGAGACAGTAACACCACACAGCAGACAGGGCAGGTTAAACGTGACTTTCAAACAAGTAATAAATAAAAGAAAGTAAGAGTATCTCATTCCCACTTACCGTTCTACACTGATCTATTTTCCCCGATAAAATCTTCAGCCCCTCCAGCACTATCAGACCAGCTATTACCGCATTAGTAGTAGCTATAGCTGGGATAATATTTCCTGCCATTGCTGCAAAATAAGCAAGAGAATGCAGATTTTTAACAGCAAACGAAAATGAGAGGTTTAAATTATTATTTAAATAAAACAATGTTATATTTTATCCTTACACTTGATATCAAATCTGCTCTTCATATTCATACTGAAAACATGCATCCTGAGGTTGGCAGCAGAAGTGACAAAATCCATTGCAGAAGGGTCATCCTGACAAGAAGTTAATACAAAAAGTATTTTAAAATCGGATTGCACATCAGAAAAAAGTTTGCAACACATGGTTCCCAAAATCTTTAAACCAGAAAGTCTTCAGAAGTCTGTACAGCATTCTATCTCAACGTCAATGTACTTCCTCTTTCAGATGGTACATTTAGACAGAGCAGTAACACTTTCAAGTTTAGAAATTGTACTTAGTATTTCGGTAGCGAATTAGGGTATTAGTATTAATAAAATGCCTTGTATTGTTTAGACAGAGAGTAACACTTTCAGTACAAGTTTAGAAATTGTACTTGGTACTTCAGTAGGGAATTAGGGTATTAGTATTAATAAAATGCCTTGTATGTTCAAAATATTATTTAAATCCCAAATCTTAAAGTGTTTTCTGCTCAGTTTCAAAAATTGGTATTTTAGAAAGAAGTAAGAGAAAGCCAAAAAGCCAAAAAGGAAGAAGTGAAGTCACATTATTAAAATATTTTAAAAAATTAAAATATGGCAAATACTTTGAATATGTGCTTTTTAAAACCGGTGACATTTTACATCGCAACAGTTAATCCTTACACTCAGTGAGTTAGAAAATATAAAGTATATATTTGTTTACATATGGAAAGTGCTTTCAGTGAGGTGCCAGACATTTTTGTTCCAAGTAGCACTACTTTGGAATGAAACTGAATGAAACTGATGAGTATTTGCACACACACGTAGACTCTAACTCGTATGTTCAAAATATTATTTAAATCCTAAAACTTAAAATGTTTTCTGCTCAGTTTCAAAAATTAGTATTTCAGAAAGAGGTATTTTTACTGTCTGTTGTGATATTATTTTACTATTTTGTCCCCCCTATATTGACAAACTATTTGTTTTTCTTATGCCAAATGACAAGTGACTGCAGGAAGATTACATTGCCTCTGGGGCTAAAAGACAAAATCCTTTTCTTGATTTTTCTTAGCAAAACTCATATTGTATCACATACCTATCATCAGAGCTAATTACTATGTACGAGTCAGCAGAACTCTAGCTACAAACGACTGTACAAGACCGTGTTTTAGAGAAAGCCAAAAAGGAAGAAGTGAAGCCACATTATTAAAATATTTTTAAAAATTAAAATAAGGCAAATACTTTGAATTTGTGCTTTTTAAAACTGGTGACTTAAGTTATTTTACATCGCAACAGTTAATCCTTACACTCAGTGAGTTAGAAAATATAAAGTATATATTTGTTTACATATGGGAAGTGCTTTCAGTGAGGTGCCAGACATTTCTGTTCCAAGTAGCACTACTTAGGAATGAAACTGAATGAAACTGACGAGTATTTGCACACACACGTAGACTCTAACTGGTTCTTAGGTATTTGGCAAACTAACCTTGTCCCATATAAGCTCTGCTCCGTCACCCTTCTCAGCCAGGTGAAGTCTCAGGGTTTCAACGCTCTTTGAGAACAAGTGTGCGTAGCTCTTGACATCCAGAACCTGCTGATCCTTCAAGACTGCAGAGGATTCATTTTGTTGGTCAGATACGTTTTTCTCTTTGGGAAAAGAAAAAAAATGAATTATTAATATCAGCAATCCGTAGAAGTCTCAGAGAAGTCCTCTCAAGGAGCTAAGAGTTTTCCAATTTCAGCAAAACTAAGTATTTTCAAAACTGAAGAACAATATCCTTAAACTACAGGAGCCCCAACATTTTACAACAAATCTGCATTTAAAACTGCAACCATAGCTTTACTTATAAATAACAGCAAATGTAAATTTTCAGCAAAACTTAGCTTTCAGAGATAATCATATCAGTGCTTGTAAGGCCTCCTAGACTAAGCTGACACGTAATTTTGCAAAATGTGAATTTTCTGCAGCCAATACCGACTACCTAAAAGAACAGCAGCAAAACAGTTTTAGCAAAAAACTAGAGAAAAATTTTAAATCTTCCGGAATTGCAAAGAATTAGTATGTTCATTATCAGTACTCAACTGTGACAGTGAGAAAATGGAGGTATCACAGAGCTGCCTCACCAAAGAACAGGTATGACAGACAAACGGACGCTGGGAGGAGGGACAATTACCTTGGTTCTGTACCTCAGCCCAGTCCAGTGGCACTGGAGGCTTTCTTTTCCTCCACAGCTTATCCATTGTCAGCAGATATCTAATGTCATCCTTGAAAAGCTAGGAAACATTAAAAAAAAAAAAACAAACCAAAATAAAACACACACAACAAAACATTAAAACGAAAGGGAAAAAAAGACATTTTCTTTTCACAACTGCTCTGAAACTGAAAAATCAGCATTAGATTTATGAGGTTTTGCTTTTTTCCTTCAAAGCATTTTCAACTACATAAAAAAATAAAATCAAACTCCACAGGAAAAAAAATACAACAAAAAAACTGATTAAAAAAATGTCTTATTCCCCATTCTCTAACAGTTACTGCACAAAGCACACAGATCCAATTAATTTGGAGGGGAGTGCAGTACAAACCAAGTAACAATAGTCCAAACAGCGGATTCATGCACCTACTGAATGAAGCCATCACTACAGCTCTTTGTATTCTCCCTGAGATAGCCTTACCTACATGCCAATCAATTGCAAAGTAAAGTTATTACTACCTGTCAACATAACATTCTCTACTCATTTCCTCTATTTACCCACTTTCAGCAACTATTTAGAAGAAAAACTCCTAAACCTGTTTGCATTTTATTACGTCCAATTACACACATCAGATAAGTGATAGCTTTTAGGTCCTCACATTATGCCCAATGAAACTCCTACAAAATTCAAGTTTACCTTTTCATATTAAAAGTAATTTGAATTAAGGTTTTTTTTTCTGTACAGTATGGACAAGCTGCTGAAGTCATCTGTACAGACGCAGACAGAATCCCATAAAACACCCACGAGGTGTAAAAGACCAACATTACAGCAAAACTGGTGGAAGCTGTAACATAATTGCATAATTGATGGCTAGCATTAAGTGTCCAAACTGGGGTTTGACTTAACTTTAAAGCACCTCACACACTTCAAATAAAGACATTTATTTGGGGTAAAGAAGATACCTTAGTAAAAAGTTTAACTGGATCGTATCCAGTTGATTTAGCCCACTCCTTAGTTGAAACACGTTTAATCTCACCATCTTCATTGGATGCTCGTGCTCTGGCTTCTGCTTCTGCTGGCTCCCCTAGTAATAAAGTGTTAACCAGTATTTTAATTCAAAAAAAAAGGAAAATCACATCTAGCTATTTCCCCTAAAGTCAATAACCAAAATTCTGCAGGGACCACCAAATGGCTGTGCTGTGCCCAACAAAAGCTGAATTAGACCCAGTGGGACTACTCCCCACTGCTTCTGCGGCTGCAACTCACCAATTCCAATAGATACAAGCTATTCAGCTAAATCACATCTATTACAATTACACCTGGATGTGTTAATTACAGCTTGATCATTAGCAAGTGTATCGCTTGCGTTCTTCACAGCTGGTATCTGAGAAGAACTAGTGAGTGCCAGTGACCCAGCTTGCACTATAAAAGTTCACAATAGCTGAACTAATCATTTTAATAACATTTTAGGCTGCCCACAAGGGCCACAGTTCTGACAGGTGAAACTATTAAACTGTTGTCATTTTGAAGAGTATTTTTTGCACTTTCTCCATGTAAAAACCTCTGGTGTGCACTATGCACTAACTAAAAACCACTGAAATTGTTACAAGTATCTAATAAGCAGCTGTACAAGGGAACTAAATTATGCACAGTGTACACGAAGGTCTGTAAGGCAAATTACTGTTAACACACCCCAAATTCCTGTTGTCCAAGGGTACAGTAAATGGAATTCTCTTAAAAGGGAGCTGAACTCTCTGACCTTAAGAAATGTACAGAAACAAGACGTAACCTCTGAAACAGGACATTTCAGTAACAGGGTAAGCTACCAGCTTAGATCACACTCACAGGCAGCTTCAGGATCAGCTCTGTCAGGAGAGACTTCTTGATCAGCATCTTCTTCTCCAAACAACTGGCTATATAATAATTAAGAACAACAACACAACACTAGAATTTCATCATATCCAGATAAAGACTGAAATATTTGCTAGCGGATATACATCCACTTCAGACTCCTTGCTATCAGGGTGCTGTTTCACACACTGCTCTTTAAATTGTTGGGATTCATCACACGGGCATTTAACACTGGCAACACAAAATATCCAATACAAAAATGAATTTAGGGAAACAGTTCCATGTAACACACTCAATAGTTCACCCAGCCCTATATTTATATTGCAGTACTGAATGCATTGCTTAGAACCTTCCGAGATCCCAGCAAACTTTACATCTGTTAATACGTGCATTAAACTGAAAAAATGTGTTAACTTCCCACAAAGATGAAGAATAAAGTCATCTCAACATACACTGCTGTGCCAAACCACTCTGCCAGATTTTCTGTGATATTAGAACAAGGTCTAAGTACTCACCAACCTTCCATCTTTTATATTAAAAGGGAAAAAAAAACAAAAAACAAACCAACAAACCCCAAAACCCAGGTCAAAGAACTGGAAGTTTTTGCTACAATCCACATCCATTTAACAAAACAAACCAACCCCAAAAAAGTGTGTGTCTGCTTTATTTCTCTGCAGGCTTAGAAAGCAGAAGAGTGAACAACAGTACCTATCTTCTTTGCACTTACTTGAACAAATACTTAGCCCACACAATGCAATGGATCGGCTCCGATGGCGTATTTCGGATTGTGCAGCCTGGAAAAGTCTTCTGAGTTGGTTTAGGATGGCATTCATAACATTCTGTCACTCCCTGGTAAAAAGTGAAATATTTCCTTGTCACACTGTGAAGGCCACTGATAGTGTGTGCCATTACCAGCTGAGCTGTAACTGTATCTCGAAACGCCCAACCCCTGTTGTCTAAAATAGCCAATGATTTAAACTTAAAGCCACAAGAGTAATAGACAACCTAACCTTTTTAATAACTGTTACTTGTCCAAGGTAGCCTGCAGTTCCACTCTCTATAAGAGGAACATCAGCAGCCAGACACATCCTGTTCACGTGGTTACGGGCAGCTGCAAATCAAGAGTTTTTACAGAAAAATTTGAATAATTAGAAAAAAGAAACTTTTATTTCTCCAAATTCAAACTAGCCTCCTATGCAAACATTTATCCTTAATCTGCTTTATTTTATTATAGAGCACTACACCTTTTTCACAGAGTCAGTTTTCCAGTTAACACAAAACATATCGCCACTATCAAATACAGCAAAATCAACTAAGTTACATATGGACACACAATACTCATCACAAAGCAGCAACACAGCAGTTAATGTTTGCTTTGAAAACACCTGTAAAAGCACTAACTACACTTTCAAGTTCCTAGTGAAGCACACAAGCCTTAGTCAAAACTACAGATGGGTTTAGAGGCTATTTGTTATTGAACTGACAATGCAGAAGTACCAACAGTAGAACACATTAAAGTTCAGTTTCTATCAACAAGCAACAGTATTTCATCTCCAAAATAAAATCATAGTGAAAACTTCACCTCTGTTATCCAGAGCATTCATAACCAACGTAAACTGGCGGAAGAACTCTACGTTATAGTCAGGGCTACAGAAAAGAAAAACAATACTCAAAATGGCACATCAAAGTTGTCGGTTACCACATCACAACACAAACCGTACGCATGCAAAGAAAGGGCAGACTCATGTTTGTGTGATAAATTACACATATTATAGACTTACTGCTAGCCTGTAACTGCCCCATTTGTCTCCTGCTCATTTTAAAGCTGGGTGAAAGCATGAATTTTATGCTGCTGGAAGGAAGCTATTGCAATTAGTACTAATTTGACCAATGAAACAGGCAGACAACGAAAAAGTGATTATACTGCTCTGACCTAATGAGTAAATTGGCTGAGCTATGGTAACTGACCTTAAAAACCATCAGCTGAGGCTAAAACATGCACACTGTAATTACCATAGCTCGTCAGGCTGCTGATAACTCATTCTACTGTGATAGCTCAATTGGGATTGATCATGACTCCCTGCCCTCAGGAGCCAAGACATGGGATTTTAAAATCTTGACACTTCAGTATCTTTACATTGCACTTTTCTGATTTGAAGGAGAAAGTGGCAAAGAAGAGAGAGTAAAGAGGAAGCAGGATTAACGGTTTTACAGTTTCAGGAGAAGGATGCCATGAGTCAGTGTTTCAGTAACCAGAGTTCAAACCTTAATATTACAGAGTATCAAATCTTAAGAAACGGGACAGATACAAATTAAAACACAGGAAACCGCTAATGAAAGTCTACATAATCTTGTACTCATTGGTTACGGATCATAAGGACTAAATTTTATCAGTTTGGGGCATGTATAAATGATACTCAGTTACCTGAACACACACAAAGCACTTGGTGTTTCTAATTGTGGACTCAACATTCACATTTATTTTAATCTAGTTATTGCTCAAGACATCAGGGCATCCTTACAGTGTGGAAACTCATATAGTAAATGTTGCTATTAAAATGAAAAACAGACACAAGCAAATGACCAGAGCTTCCTACCAGAGCTTACGGAAACCCATGCAAAATCCACACTCCCCCTCCAGTGTGTGACAGTCTCACATTTACAGCTACTGCTTCCCAAAGCAGCCAGCAGTAAGAAATATCTCAAAGCATGCCATTGTAGCATTTAAACAACACAGCACTTGCAAAGCAAAACACATAGAGCTCAAAACCAAACATACTTCATGATGCTATCATGGTAAGCTATAATATTAGCTTCTGGATAAAACTGTAACACGCTTTCCTTGGCAACCTAGAAATAAAAAACAAAACAAAAAAACACTTATTATTTCTTCCTTCCTTCTAAAGACAGACTCAATGCCAGTTGAGTATCGAGTAAATTGACTACCCTAAGAGATTTCAATGCTTTTATAGTGAAATGCTGTGGATAGCCATGATCAACCAACCAACACTTACCTCTTCGCAGCAGAAACAAAATTGTGACACGTTTCTAATAAAATAACTCACGTTTCCATAAAATAACACTAAGGACTTGAGCTTTGGCTCTTTCCTCACCTGTGATTTTGATCTTCCAACATGTTTCTTTTGAAACAAAAACTGCCTGTTGAGATTGCTGACATCAATGGTATCCAAATCAATCTACAAACACACAAGAGACAGCCATTTCACTTTCAGAGAAACCAAAGGAACAGAATTGTTAACAGCTTGGAGCGAGTGTGAGTGACCAAAATGCACAAACGTGAGAGCCCCCTTTTGAGTCCCACACACAGGAGATACACTACAGCAACTCTAGAGGCACAAGGGACCACCTAATGGTCTGCAGGAATCCATACATTTTAAATAACTACCAACAACGGACCCATAGGTCAAAAATTAAGGGCTACGTGACAGCAAACCTTGTGAAGGAAGAGTCCCCACCAACACCACGCAGGAGCTTTGAGATGGTTATGCAGAGCAGGTGGTAGAAGACACTGCAGCCTCTGGGTGGGACTGAGCACCCTGCTGGCTGGCTCAGCACCACCCTGCCCCAGGCACCAAGAACGGCCACTCAGCAAACTAATTAGTACTTCTACCTCATATTCCAACATGGCTTTGAGCAACTGAATCAGTCAACTGAGGGCTGCACTGTCATCTCAGCCACACACCCCAGGGCAAAAGCTTTTACTGTTTGTCACCAGGACTAACTGCTTAAGTGCATATTAAAAAAATAATAATAATGAAGGCTACTTACAAAGAAAATTTCTAGTAATGCAATCAAGACGTTTATAAACACCTGCCACAGAACACCTGTGATGTACAACCTCAAAGGATGCCATCACTGTAATTCCCCCAACAGCCCTCTATTCATTAATATAAGCACAGAACATCATAATTTCAAGTATCTTTACCTTCCACCACAAGAATTAAGAACATTTAATTAGAACTTTGAGATTTATCCCTACCTTTGTTGCCTCTCCTTTTCCTTTAATTAAGCAGTTTCTCTGATCAACGCCTCTCTTCAGAAGCCCTCTCCTGGCCCTAACTGCTTAACCAGGGGGGGCGGTGACAATCTTTCAGACATTTCAGGCAATTTTTCTCAGAGATATTTCTCCCAAATTCCCATAGCTATTCCTGACACACTCAACACATCAGTGTCTGTAACTACATGGGGAGTGCTACTGGACTGACTGTGCAGTGTGGGGTTTAAACACAACCTACTGAGGGTGTTCTCATATGCTTTAAGTTTTATTAACCAAACCTGACTAACGAAAAAGGCATGTCCCACACTCCTCAGTGAAGATCCTTCACACACCAGACCCAACATTAAACCTCCTGCTTTCTGAAGGGAATATTTTTAAATTAAGGATTAAGTTTTAATATGCTAAAAACTGCAATAGCTACAGACTTTTAGTTAAACACTAAGTAAAAGCACCTGTGGATATAAAGCAAACAAAATATACAATGTTTTAGAAACGTATTATAAAGCAGAGACTGTTAATCTTTATTACCCATTGTATCCTAGTAACTACCCACGGTCTCGTATCTTTTAATGAAAATGGTATTTGCATGAGAACACATTTCTGCCTCCTTCCCTTTCTCGTAAGACACACTGGGAAAGCTTGCTCAGTCCAAAGCCAAAAATCCCAAGAAGCTCAAGTGAAAATGATTAATGCATAATTCTGTTAAAACTTCCACTACCCAGAAAGCTTTTAGTATTTTAACTGGAGACAAAACCAAGCAACATAAGCTCCAACTGAAAACAGTTACTACAAAGACCAAAAGAAGCAAAGGTGGTTTTTCCCCAAAGAGAATAAATACTTGGGACCCTTAGACCTCAACAGAAGCTTCAATCTAGTTAAGAATGATCAGAACTTAACAGTTCCCTTATTTCAGTAACTTTTACACTGCTCCTGCTTTTTGTAAGTTAGAAGGAAATGCCTCGGAATTTCCTAAGAATATATATGCATGTTCTTAATTCAGACTTGGATTTTGAGTAATTTGATTTTGCTCTTCATTCATGAGGACAATGGCACTGCCTTTCAACAAAGTATAATTGGTGAAATCACACACTCATGAGTTGTCTGGTATTCAAAACTATTGAATTTGTTTTTTGAGTATTAATATTTTGATTTAAAAAAATATATTGCAACTTAATTATATTCAAGTTGTGTACAAGCTTGTTAGCATTTAATAACCAAGGAAAACCCCCAACAATATCACACACATTAACTGAGGCAATTTATTCTCCAAACAGTAAACTTCCTCTTTGGGTAACAATTGTCTTTTTGCTCTCGCCTCGTCTCTTGCCCACCCACTCCATATGCTATCAAAATGTTACTGCCTTGCACAAAACACTGCCAACGATATTTTTAAATTAAGATGGCCCTGATCCAACATGTACTTAAGTTAATAGACTCCAACCAAGTCGGCCTTGAAAGACAATACAAAAAAAACCCAGGCTATAATAAGTGAAACAATAAGCATACCCCAGTGAGTTTTATGCCTAATGACGAACTGGAAAATCAGGATATATTAAACTGTTTCTATGATAATGGAGTGCAGGGGTATGCAAATGACATCCTAAGGTTAAAAAAAAAAAAAAAAGGAGGAGTCGGGGAAACAGTGCAGAAAAAGCAGGCTCCCACCCCTCTGTGTATGTTTACTTCACCGGTACAATGTTAAGCCCCAGTTGCAGACTCAAATCAAAGGGACAATTGGGAATTAAGACTTAAAAACTTGTAGGATGTGCTTAAAAGTATTTAAATAGGAAAACACGAGTCGTACGAACAACGAGGCAAGCCAGTAGCCGCGCTTTTCCACAAGCTGATACAGTTTCAGATAAAAGCTGTTTCTAACATGCCTTGCTCAACAAGTCTGACGGTAAGAACAACCTCCTTAGAGCCCGCCGCCCCGCACCCCCAGACCCGACTCCTGCCCGGGCACTCACGGCTAAAAATGCATTCAGAGACACCGACCTGTGCCAGGCCCGGGCTCCCAGGGGTTCTTAAAACCAGATACTTTCCGTAACTGCTCTAAGAAATTAAGGCAGGCCTGGGAAACACGCAATGGGAGTTTTTCTCTCCGTGTTTCTCCCCAGCCCCTTCTCCCGACCCCTCTCTCTCCTGCCCCTCCCGCACCCGCCCGGGGACCAGCCCCGGGGGAACCAAAAGCGAAAGCGGCGGCCGCCGGGGGGAGGCCGGCCCGTCCCGTCCCGCCGGGCTCCTCACACTGACAGTTTTACAACTCGGCCTCTAAAAACACGGTTCGTCTCCCACATATTTTTGTTTTCCGCCGCAACCCCTCGCCGGACCGTCCCCCGCGGTGTGAGGCGAAGCTCAGCCTTTGGGGAGCGGCAAACATGGCCCACCGCTCCCCCCCGCCGCCTTACGGCTACGGGCTCCCCGCCCGCCCGCCAGCTCCCGCCGCTGCCCCGGGCAGGCGGCCCGACCTCCGCGGGGACGGAAAACACCGCCCTCCGCCCGCTCCCGGCGCCCGCGGCCCGGCGGGGCGGATGGCGCCCACAGGCCGCAGCCCCTTTGTGGCGGAGCCCGTCCCCCGGCGGCGGGGGCG